TTCATGAGACTGTATTAGTAGGAGAAGTGTGTTGAAATCCTGAGGAGAGCGGAAGCATATGACCCATTTTCATCATGCTGTCACGCTTTAGTTCCCACTCCCACACTGTTTGATTTGTGTAGGCTGTATAGCATATCCTTCTCTGGTCCCATGTTCCACTGTGGACCTCTTTCACACAGGGACACAAAAATGGGATTGCAATATTAATGACTGTTTCCAAAACTCATGCCATTGTTTGAGCTGAAAGTTGGTTGCTGTTTTTGTGGATGCTTTTACATTGTGACTACACACTCATTCTTCTTGACACCATGTAAGTGTATGTCTATGCATCTAGGATTGCAGTGGCAATAGATAAAGATATCTCAAGGCAAGAATCTTAATATAATATTTTCTCAGTTTCTGTGCCTTAGAGTAGGAGTGAAAAGAGAGAGGAGACAGACAATGGGAATTACAAGACAGTGTGAACATCACACACTGATGCCCCACAGCTGCTGTTTATCTACACTGAGTCTCATCAGTCCAGGACCACAGGAAGCACATCCTCTTCCCAGTGTCTCTACCTCATGTTCACTACAGCTCTGCAGGAGCTGAGCAGGATATTTATAAATGACATGATCTCCTTTCCTTTTCTATAGAAAGTCCCACTGAAACTCTCAGTCTCTGTGGAGTTGGTTCTATCGACAGAGGCGTTCTCATATCTGCATCAATGAATACACCGTCTTGCACTTTCTCAGGCTTCATAAAAAAGTTGAAGAGAAATGCCGGACCTTTTAGTCATTTGTTCATTATTGGATGTTTTCTGTATAAGCACATTGGCCAGCGGGAGGTTCGGGTTGCTAAGCTAGCTGTTAGGACTTGGATCTAATGTGACTCTTCTCAGCGTGTGTGCACACTGCCTGCACAGGGCATAATAGCCTGCAAATTTAGTCCAGATTATAAGATTCCCTCTGAGGATAAAACAAAAACCAGCGCCCAAATCAAGCGTGTATTCAAGGTTGCCTGGTTTGCTAAACATAACTAGCCCAATGGCCCATCAAAAATAGCTCAAAACTAGAGTAATGACTCTATCCCAAATATCAAAACTCAAAATATGCACTCCCATATCTGAAATAAGTATTTTACATATTTTATAGTCACTTTTATGTCATACTCTTGTGTTTTCATGTCTTTGCAACTTTACAGATCTTCTTTATGCACCAAGAGCTTGTAACACTCCAAAGAGAAAGGAAAAATTGAAATCGCATCATATGACCCCTTTAAAGTCTCCCTACCAGTGTCCCTCCCTCATCATCTAGCAATTTTATCATTGATAGAATATGAAATGGGTAAAATATTTTAATACAAGCACTTCAGTCAAATACAATTCATGCAATGTCAAACTTTTAACTTAAAATAGCAGCATTGGTTTAAAAATAGCCTAACAGGACAACTGTGGACATGACAATCGTCCATGTACTAATACACTTATTACACTATGCTTGCCACTACTCTATTAGTTATTTCTGTTCTATAAAATATTATATAGTGCATTTTTTAGCAAATATAAAATATTATTTTATGAATAATTTTAATAATTATTTTATATTATTAAGTACATGCATTGGAACAAACCTACATAACCAAACAGTTTTGTTGTGATGTGCAGAATTGTATTAATGCTTTGCTGAAATTGGTTAGGAATTCATTAAAGATATCCTCTAGAGGAACTATGAAGAACAGAGAATGTTTCCTATTGGGATGGAAGCTTGGGTGGGGCATATTGAAGGGCTAGTTCCATTTTTAAATTTTTTTTTTTTTTTTTACATGGCTTTAGTTATGAACCATGATTTGTTACTTGATAGTTGCTGAAGATAATATTAGAAGGATGGGCTTTTTCCATTCAAGTTTATAATAATGTTGTTTTTTGTAATTATATAAACTATATAATTACCGATAAACACTGTTTTAGACATGGGTTTTTCTATATATAGTGTTACTTTTGTTTGCCATAGTTTTTCTACTTCTGTGTTTTTAAACCATTTCCATTTTCTTGATTTGAAGTAATAACAGAGAAAACATGATCCCATGCAATTAACATCAGCATTGTTTAAGTTCTATACAATAGTTCACTATTTTTATCTTTATGTATATAATATATGTATAATGGATGGGCACCAACATATCTGTGTGAGTTTTTTGAGTGTATGTAACACATAGCCTGCATATACATTTACACATATACATATACAATACACTTATATTCACATCTCTATCATAAAAAACACCCACCACTATCTGCATGAGGTCAGTTGTGCATATGGAGTGTAGTTATAATAATGTGTTTTACACCTGTGAGTTTACAGTCCTCCTTCCCACGCAGGGTCTTCTCAGTCGCTCAAACACTCCTGACAAGTGTGTTTCTGTGCATTTTATATGTGAAATGGTCTCTTAGCTTTATAAACACACCTGTACGCTTCCTACCTGCCTCTCGACCTACTGACATGCAGACATGTGCAAACCCACCCACACACACAACATAGATGAGAACCCTTCTCACAATCACCCAATAAATACACTCACAGCACACTCAGTGATCATGAACACATGACGTCTGCCTGGCTCGGTGTGTTGATAATGGGGGAAATTTAACCTATGGGTCCATTCTGCAAATTCATTGGAGAATCTGATGCCTGTTGGCATTTCTGTCAGACCAAATTCTGTCCCAGGGTGAAAGATATGCTAAGCTTTAAACAAAGGCATTAGGGCACATGTGTTGACCTTCGACTCTATGGAGACAAAATGATCTTTAACCCCTCCTCCAGCTTTCCATCCATTCCTCCTGCTTTCTTTGTCTCTTCATATGAAATTGATTATAATGTTTCTGTGGATTTCATACCTTAAAGACAGTGTAGGAATTAGGGAGTGACTTTGAGGCGGCTGACAATTTTGATGTAAATTTTAAAGGAATTGTTATTGGAATTTTCAAGATCTTATTATTTATAAAAGTATTTTCGAGGGCCAATCTGGCAAGGTTTATGCAGCCACTAGCATATTTTTTATAATGGTAAATATTTCACTAAAATAAGAATAAATTATTATTCGGTCTGTGTGCTAATAACTAGATTTGTATTTGTGCTATAAATTATTATTAAATTTTTTTTAAAGCCCACTAGTGTAAACCAGCTCTAACACCTGTTATATGGGGACCTTTCTTAGACTGTGTGAGAGGCACTTTTTGTACACTTTTTTTTCCCCACTACTGAATAAAATATGTAATTTTGCTTTGCTTTTTATGAGTTTTTTTGGCTTTAGTTCCTACCTTGTATGAAATTAACATCCACAGTGATTTATTAACTAATGTGTGACAGGAAGTGACGTGCAGCCAGCTGTTTTATAGCCCTGCAGTGAGAGATGCATCCTGTCCTGTTCATGACAGTCTGGGTGTGTGACAGTTTCAGTCCCAAGAGTCTGTGAGGATATCCTGCCACACAGCTGTGTGGTTAAACACTAGTCTATATGTGCACTCACTCTCACATAAGCAGAGACTCTGGAGTGGATTCGCTCTCCGTCTCTCACTGTCTGACAGAGTACTGTTCTGCTCGGTCAGCACACATACACAAACACTCCAAGGTCATTTAGCTCTGTACAGTACCCATCACTCGAGCCGCACTCAACATCTCAACCTTCTCCATCAGAGCAAAACACACACACACACACTTACATCAGTTCTTACACAGTCAGCACCTGCGTCATGCGGGTAATTCAGCCGGGAATAACTGCAACACACATCACTGCATGAACACTGGCACTGACTGAGATTTAAGTAAGATATGCAACTCTAAATAATATAATATAATATAATATAATATAACATAACATAACATAACATAATATATAATATAATATAATATAATATACATCCATCTACTTTGCAAACTGCTTTACCAATGTGAAGTTGCAGGGATGCTGGAGCTTATAACATATAACATATAACATAACATAACATAATATAATGTTTATCCATTTTCAAAATCACTTGTCCTGTAGAATTGTGAGGCTTATAACATGATATATCTTATTTCCTATTACAGATTAAATATTTTTATATACAAAACCTATATATATATATATATATATAATACATAAACACAAGTATATGTAACTTATAAACAGCGTCTCTTTGTGTTCATCTCTACAATATGAGGCTTAGACCAGGTATGTTTCCAGCTATACAGACTTGTTTGTGTACTGCTTTTTTACGATAATTTCACAGAGTCATTTTTTTTCTAACTTTAATTAATTAAGTTCAATTAGCCCCGCAGCTCATGACAGCTGTGAGAGTCCAATAACATAAATCAAACTTAAACAGACACTTTGATAAACATACTAACAAGCACAATAAAGACATAATTAGCCTGATCTACATTAATACTTGATGAACTTAGTTGAAAATGAATTCAACTAAATTGGGCTACTTTTTGACCGTCATCATAATCCAATGTCAAAAAGTGGCCCAGTTGACCTGAATTCTTCCTATATCCCTTGGCCTGCCTCTTCTCTTCTTGTTCCTTTCCTCTTTTCTCCTTTTTATTGCCGTCACGCATACTGTATTATGTGACATGCTCAGTCTCTCCTCAGCAAAAAAGCACAGCTCAAGCTTTATGCAGGACAGCACTGGATTAAGAGCTCCACTTCATAATCAGCCTGCTAAAGCCTGACACACAAACACACACACACACACACACACACATAAACATGCCTCACCCAGCCAAGACCCACTGCCCTACTGCGGGACAGGCCCTTGCATATTAAACACACACAGGGAGCCAGCTGGACAAATGAACATAGAAGTTTGTACCACACAGCAAATCCAGCAGACATAAGATTCACCTGCATAAACACACACCCCACCTGTCCGGCACTGCAGTACACTACAGCCACAGATTCAGCAGAACATCCCACTGCAGTGAGCCCAAACCCAGCAGCCCCTCCCAGCCTCACACACTCCAGCACACGCTTACCTTTGTGACAGTCATGCAGAGAAAAGTGCAGAAGAGTCAGCTTCCGTTCCTGAAACGCTGAGTGAGACAGCAGGACAGAGAAAGAAGGACTCACTGAGCTCGTGCAGCCTGCAGTCTACGACAGCAGAGTGAGACACGAGAGATTGTGAAAGAGGAGGAGAATAGAGGGAGAGAGAGAGGGAGGGTCTGGTCGCTGTCTCTCGCTAAGTATCCAAACCGATCAGTGCCGCGGTAGCCGTGATCCTGTAGTCAGGATACTGCAGTGAAGTCAGCATAGTATGTTAGTACTATTACTCCTTGCTCTCTCTCTCTCTCTCTCTCCTTCCATGCTGTCAATCTGATTACTGCATGTGCTAATGAAGATTATTGATGTCCACAACAGCATCACTCTGTTTACAATGTCATACTCTCTCTCTTTAGCTCTCTGTAAACAACATATATGTGACCCTGGACAACAAAACCAGTCATAAGGGTCAGTTTTTTAAAATTGAGATTTATATATCATCTGAAATCTGAATAAATAAGCTTTCCATTGATGTATGGTTTGTTAGGATAGGACAATATTTGAATGTTTTAATATTGCAACTATTTGAAAATCTGGAATCTGAAAAAAAAAAAAAATTAAATATTGAGAAAATCGCCTTTAAAGTTGTCCAAATGAAGTTCGTAGCAATGCATATTACTAATCAAAAATTATGTTTTGATATATTTACGGTAGGAAATTTACAAAATATCTTCATGGAACATGATCTTTACTTAATGATTTTTGGCATAAAAATCTATCATTTTGACCCATACAGTGTATTTTTGGCTATTGCTACAAATCTAGTATTTTGGTGGAAACGGTGGTTACCCTGTTTTTTTGGCATGTATGATATTAAAGCAAAAATATATATTAATTGCTTACTTAAATGTATATACTTTAACAAGATTACCATACTCAAGATTCTTCTTAAAGTAAGAAGTATGAAGAACAAGAAAAACAAACATCTAAACATGATGTAGGATTAACTGTAGCTTTATTATGTTCTGCTGCCCTCTTGTGGGCCTCAGCAATATTACATCACTATTTACATTTATTGAACAACACATTTAAAGGGATAGTTCACCCAGAATTGTTCATTATTCATTCATAGCCATGTGGTTCCAAACCCCTGTGATGTACTTTGTTCTTGTTGGAACACAAAAGGAGATGCCCAATGGAAAAAGATGCAATGAAAATGAATAGTGACTGAGGCTGTTATTCTGGCTAACATCTTGTGTTGTATGGTTGAAAGTCATATTAACGCTTGTGCGTCAATTAAAAAAAGTTACGCATAGGTCCATAGTGGACAAAAATGTCCATGTCCAAAAACTGTCATAAAAATATTATATATTAATATTTTTTTCCACTTTCACTGACGTCGATTTTTTTTTACCAGCATCAGTTCTAATGATAATTACCAAACATTCATTAATTTTCAGAATTGTAACCCTTTAAATGCTGGTTTGTTTACATAATGCCACAGGTGATTTTTTTTTAATGAAAAAAAGACAAATTATTTTCCATATATAACAGATTTTTTTTTCTTTGTTTATTACAGTCTTGGATGTGTCAATGATGAACAACACCATTCATTTTGAGGCATTCATATTTTTTATGTAGTGTCAGATTTAAAAAAAAAAACTACCACTCAGGTCCATAAAGGACAAAAATGTCCATATCAAAAAACTGTCATAGAAATATTATATATTTATATTTTTTTCCACTTACACTGACTTAAATTTTTTATCAGCATCAGTTCTAATCATAATTACCGAACATTCATTAATTTTCAGAATTGTAATGCTTTAAACGCTGGTTTCTTTACGTAATGCCACTTGTTTTTTTATAAAAATAATAATAATTTTATTTTCCATCATAAAAATATTATATATTAATATTTTTTTCCACTTTCACTGACGTCGATTTTTTTTTACCAGCATCAGTTCTAATGATAATTACCAAACATTCATTAATTTTCAGAATTGTAACCCTTTAAATGCTGGTTTGTTTACATAATGCCACAGGTGATTTTTTTTTTTATGAAAAAAAGACAAATTATTTTCCATATATAACAGATTTTTTTTTCTTTGTTTATTACAGTCTTGGATGTGTCAATGATGAACAACACCATTCATTTTGAGGCATTCATATTTTTTATGTAGTGTCAGATTTAAAAAAAAAAACTACCACTCAGGTCCATAAAGGACAAAAATGTCCATATCAAAAAACTGTCATAGAAATATTATATATTTATATTTTTTTCCACTTACACTGACTTTAATTTTTTATCAGCATCAGTTCTAATCATAATTACCGAACATTCATTAATTTTCAGAATTGTAACGCTTTAAACGCTGGTTTCTTTACGTAATGCCACTTGTTTTTTTATAAAAATAATAATAATTATTATTATTTTCCATATACTAAATGCTAAGCAGATTTTTTTTTTCTTTGATGATTAAAGTCTTGGATGTGTCAATGATTAACAACAATATTCATTTGAATGCATTCATATTTTTTATGCAGTGTCAGATAAAAAAAAAACTACCACTCGGGTCCATAAAGGACAAAAATGTCTGTGTCAAAAAAACTGTCATAGAAATATTATATATTAATATTTTTTTCCACTTTCACTGACTTTGATTTTTTTATCAGCATCAGTTCTAATCATAATTACCAAACATTCATTTTCAGAATTTTAACGCTTTAAACGCTGGTTTCTTTACATAATGCCACTTGTTTTTTTATAAAGAATAATAATCATTATTATTATTTTCCATATACTGAATGCTAAGCAGATTTTTTTTTTCTTTGATAATTAAAGTATTGGATGTTTCAATGATTAACAACAATATTAATTTGGATGCATTCATATTTTTTGTGCAATGTTAGATTTAAATAAAAACTACCACTCAGGTCCTTGAAGGACAAAAATGTCTGTCAAAACATTGTTTTTATTACTCTTATTACCCTCCAAAGTTTTTACTTTTTAGTAGAATATTATCTTATATTGCTCTATAAATAAAACAAAAATACAAGATCACTTTGAACAAGAACAAGATTTATTGTTCAAAACTCAAGAACACTCAGAACAGAAATAGTAGGTATATGCACAAGTGAGTGAGAGGGAATTCACTCACAGCAGGAGCTGCAGTATGTGAATGTGTGGTCTTTGCAGATATGCTTGCCACACTTTTTGCAGGTGGAGGCAACCTTTTTCTTTTTGTCAGTGCAGAACTTGCAGAACTTCCTCTTTTTGGTGTTTGGGTCTACCTGCTGTTGATCCTCCACCATGGTGGAGGCAGATGGTTGGCGGGGGATGCGCTGTCTCCGTGACATATGTGGCATTACCAGCATTTTTCCCAGTTCCTCCAAAAACAGCCTCTGTCTGAATGTTTTGCCCTGGTTCCAGGAGGGGTCCACCGCTGACCACAGTACAAATGAGTTGTAGGTAGAGACGTCCACAAGGTTATAGAAGAGAACCACTGGCCACCGACATGTTCTTCTCCTACAGCTGTATGTGCCAACAACCTGCGAAAGAAAAAAGAAAATAAACAAAATATTCTTCTCCTCATCATTCACAAAAATATAACATTGTGTATATAAATACTGATTTATGAAAACATTCACTATTCTCATCATTCACAAAAAGATAACATTATTTATGTAAATGCTAGAAATAATGAATAATAAAAGCACTATGCAGTAAGAATAAATGTGTGTATAAACCGATGCGTAATGGCACATACCTTGTCCAGGTTGTCGACACCTCCTTTGCAGCGGTTGTAGTCTGTGATGATCACTGGCTTCTTTTTCTCTGTGTCAATCACAGCTGGCTCTCAGTGCTCGGTGCTAAGGAGCAGCACATTCTTCCCACGTTTGGTTACATAAGACACCGCTGTGTGCGTCTTAGTGAAAGCAAAGAGGGAGGACATGAGTGCTCTTTGCCTTGTCTGCAGCAGCTGTGGGGGAAGCTCTGGCTTGTTCTTGCGAATTGTACCGACTAGGGCCATCTTCCTCTTTAGAAGCTCCTCAGCCAGTGCATAGGAGGTGAAAAAATTGTTGCAGGTCACAGTGTTCCCCTGGAGACCCTCCGTCATGTCCAGAACGACCCTTTTTCCCTGGTTCACCTCCGCAGGACTTCCAGGAGACTTCCCCGTGTAGATTTGCATCTTCCATGCATAGGATGTTGTGACGTCACAGGTGACCCAAATCTTTATGCCATACTTGGCAGGCTCGCTGGGCATGTACTGGCGAAATCCACATCGGCCTTTGAAAGGGACGAGCTGCTCATCCACACAGACATCCTGGCCTGGGTTGAACAGCAGAGGAAGGCGATGCGTCCACTTCTCCCAGATAGTCCGAAATGCAGCCAGCTTGTCATGCCTGTAACGTGCAGGTCGTGTCAGCCTGTCATCGAACCTCAGGGTGGAGCTTAGGAGCTTGAATTTACGGTGGGACATGGTGGCTCGGAAAATGGCCCGTCCGCTTTCCACATCCCACAGGCTGCTTGATGATTCATTTCTGGACCTGTATACGCCGGCCAGAATCAGCAGCCCGATGTATGTCTGGATGCCAGTGGAATCGAAATCAGTCCAGTCTTTCACAGAACGCCTCCCTTGTAAATTGGTATTTTCCAGAAGAAGCTGAATGATGTCTTCGGTGATGAAGAGGTTGAAGCAGGACTGGACAGTTGTGATGCGGGCAGTGGCGTAGCGTGTGGGACCCGGGCTCATACCCTTGGCAGGACAGTAGCGCAGTGTCTCAGTGTGAGTGGAAGACCAAAGAATCTGCCCATTTTTTGAATTCCACTGATGTGCTGTCTCCTCTGTTTGCTCACTCTCAGTGCTGTCATCGGAGGAAGAGCTATCAGAGGGGTCAGACTCCAGCACGAACTCGACTTCATCCTCTGAACTCAACTCTTCATCCTCTGAACTCAACTCTTCATCCTCTGAACTCAACTCTTCATTGTCAGTTTCATATGCACCCGGGTGCTCACTGTCAGTGGGCACAACTAGCTCCAGAGCTTCCTCTGTTGTGAAACGTCTCTTCATCTTGCAAGCTATGAAATGACCAGGCCCTCAAGCATCACATATTTATAGGTTTGGCTGTGAGAACACCTGTGTCAACTCAGACTTTGTCTAAAATCTACCAGACTAAACAATCAGCATTTTCTTGTGGTGAAAACAAAAACAAGGTGTTCAGGGGCTTCTGAACTTCTACATCAAAATCAAGCTCACCTTTTATCTCT